GGAGGCTGGCAGGGAGGCTGTGGCGACAACGGATGTATATGGGATGATGAGAGCATGCTGTGACATGGCATTTTGGCTGAGGTGGCACTTCATTGTAATGTGTGTGGAACTGAGGTTATGAACGGTTATTGAAATCCATGTCGACTCAATTGGTGAGTAATCTGTGGTTGGGGGCAGCTATCTTCAGGTACGTTGTTCCCTTACCTTAGCTTCCCATCTCAATCTCTTCTTACCGTGAGGAAGTGAGTTCAACTTGCATGTCCTCTTCTGGTTCAGGAGTCGTGAGGGACCTTGAGAGTCGACATTCTTCCTGGTGGCGCATCTCGAAGGAGAGGGCGGTGCCTCTAAAGGGCCGTGGTGGAAGCACGGGTCACGGTCACCATGCCAACCCATGGGAGTAGAGCATGCATGCTTTGCTGCTTTGTCCTCTAAGCTCTTGTTGCGCTGTAGAGGGAACGTGGACTGACCAGTCCTATTCAAGACGTCTACCAGACCATTTACAAATGATTTTTGGTGGGATCTGATTGTGAACACTGGCTGTGATCGTCGTCCTGTCTGCGGCGTTAAATAATTACTGAGGACTTCGGGGGCTGTTCTTAAATTGCCTCTTGATTAGCCAGATCAGTCGGATGTAAAGCTCGTTGCACGCGAGGATAAATAGCGGCCAATGCTGGTCATAAGCGGGTTCCTGGGCACAGGGGTGGGCCATTGTGCACACTTCAGACACTGCTGCTTGATGATGCAGCCAGGACCGTTGGATACACGAGAAGGAAGGTTCCAATTGGTGCTCACTGCTCATACATAAACAAGTTTATACATCTGTGCAATTGATTTATTTTTATTTTGATTAGTTGAGGTGACAAACTACTAGTACCTAACAGACAACCTTAGACTAAAACTGTAGTAGTCTACCTTAGCCAGCTCTGCTTCATTGCTGCTGTTAGGGAACTGATCAAACTATGGGAGATCATTTGCTTTGTTTGTGTAAATGCTGTTGACACCACTTGATCGGTAGGCCAGTTGAATTGCTGAGTATTTATTATTTTATTTTATTTAACGACTCTATCAGACACATGCTGTGGTAGGCCCCAGCGAGGGCACTAGTGCAGATAGTGATCTGCCTAGCTGATGAGCGGTACAGATAGCGGGGAAGGGACAGCTGACGATCGGAGGCAAACACGGCGGGAGTGCTTCAGGTTCTGCTACTAGGGGACAAAAAATGATTCTGGGTTGAAGCAAGGGCCTGACATCTGTAGACCGCAAGAGGAGGCAGCAGCAGCTGCAGAGCGTGCTTTAGCGGAAGCTGCAGCTAGTGCTGAAGTTGTGGCTGCTCCTGTAGCGACCTCTCAAAGTCAGCCGACCTCAAGAACTTTCGTTATGTCCTCAATCTCATCTAGTGGGACTAGTGCAGGACCCTCCACAAGTCAAATGGTGGGCTCGCAATACAACCAACCACCTCCACCCACTAGAGAGGAGTTAGAACTCCAGCAAGTAGAGTTACTCCGCTTACAACAAGAGAAGCAACTTTGCGATGCAACCAGAAGACAATATCAGATTAGAAATCGTAAAGCCAGATTGGAGAGCAGAGAGCCAGACAAGGCTGCATTAGAAGGGATAGATGATTCGAACCTTGATGATATAGGAAAGATCATCCGGGCGAATCTGCTAAATATGAATGAGTATTTTGACAGCAGACTGGATGACATCTAGTCAACCCTTGACCAAATACTTAGGGCTGTGCAGGGAAGGGGAGGACCACTACCCCCCGTACCTAGTGCGCCGAGTGTCCGACAACAGACAACTTTTCCATTGCTAGTTCCTTTACCGGCGCTGACAGGCCCTTTGTTCCACAGTCTGGTGTCCCACCAGGTGGTACGTCAGCACCAATAGACGGGACTATAGTTTCTTCATCTTCAAGTCCAGTTGCTGCATCTTCAGGGCAACAAATGGTTCAGTCATCGATTGGACCACCGAAACCTTGGTACTTGAAAACCCCAATGAAACCCTCATTTTTTTTCACAGGAGACAAGAAGGACGAGGCCCTCGACACTTGGTTGAGGACAATTCCACGTACACTGCATGAGGAGGAGGTGATCACTGCCACTTCTTACTTAGAAGGATTGGCAATAAGATGGTTGAATGGGTATATAGCGACAAAGGACTTTGCCAGACGGATGAACGACTGGGTGCAGACCCAGACACTTGAAAACTCCATGGACTTAGTGGAGGCGCGATGGCACAACCCTCAACAGGCTCAACAAGCCACTGATGCGTTGACCCGTCTTGATACTAGGAAGTTCAAAACGGCGCGAGAACTCACAAGTGTCATGGACAAATTGGTAGCAGTACCAGGACTTCGCTATGATCCCCAAGCCCTCCTAACCATGTTTTTGACATGTATTGACACAGACATCAAGAGTCTGTTGGTAGTGAGGCCGGCGTTGAGTATCACACCCTTGAGTCTTTGAGCAATAAGGCCTTAGACCTAGAGGCAAGGCTGGGAGGGGCTCAACAGGTGGTTGTGGATGGAAGGAAGAAGAAGACTCCACAAGAGTGGAAGAAGAAGGGAAGTCGTTTGATGATGGTTGATTTTGATGGGAATCAAACCGAGATCGACGACCTTTCTGACCTTGTGGAGGAGACAGAGATAGGCAGAGAGGAGAGTGTAGAGGGTAGCAACCTCGCCACCATAACCAAAGGAAAGGCAGTTGGCCGTGGGAAGGGCGGTCAACAAAAGAGTTAGGGGCAGGCTCATAACTCAAACGCTCATAACTCAAACAAGACTCTGGCTTGGGTGAGGGCTGGCTTGAATCAATATGTATAGAGGGACCGATATTTGAGAGGGGCTTGCATTAACTGCGGTGAGTATGACCACCAACAGTTTAAGTGCAAGAACGTAAAGGTTTCTCAAAAGATTGCACCCAAAGGTGGTTTTAGGGGATCTTTCGCCCTGAGTGGTGCTTCTACGAGCGCCAACTCCGGAAACACATTAGGCCAGTAGTAAAAGTTATAGCTGCTTCTACTCAAGACGAAGTGGTTAGGATACCTTCACCACTTCAAGAGTTGACCGAAGCTATTGACTCTTTCGTCATGCCTTGTTGGATGTGTTTGAAGCCTTAGAAGACTTAGAAACTGAGTGGTCGGCAAGGGACCCTCGTGAGTCTTGGGTGGCTTTGTCAAAAGGTCCAAAAGCGGAGCTTTAGTTGTAGAAGTCGGTGTAGGTGGCCGCGAATGAGGTGCCTTTGTAGACATTCGCTCTACACGGAACTTCATAAGTCATGACTGCGTTGATAGACTGCGCCTAGGGGACCGGGTGCAATGCTTTAGTAGACCTGTAGCATCTACTCTAGCCAACAAAGAGTGCATGTTGGTCAAGGGCTACATCACGGATGTGGTCTGCACCTTTTCTTATGGAGGTGGGGAAGTTGATCATCAAATTTCGTTCCAGATTAGCGACGACTTGCAATTTGACATATTGTTTGGTATGTACTACCTTGAGGTTGCCAAGCTCAAGTTCGACTGACACCGAAAAGTGCTAAAGCATGTGTTATCTGATGAGAGAACCGTTAGACTAGCTAAGTATAGAGATAACATGTTAGTTGATTCCTATGGGTGTATGTGTGCAAGTGCATTTTATAATTATTATAAATAGAACCAAGAGGAGGGTATGTATTTAGCTTTTGTCTCTGAGAAAGGGGAGGCTGTTAAAATACCCCCATAGATAGAGACCATTGTTGCTAAGTAAATCGATCTGTTTGAGGAGCTTTCAGGAATCGTAGACAGGGAGATTGTCCATGCCATAAAGATAATCCCAGGGAGTAAAACCCCGAAGGGGAGGATTTATAGGATGGCTTCGGCCAAGTTGAAGGAACTTCGTCGGCAACTGAAAGAGCTCATAGAAAATAGTTGGATTCGGCCTAGTACCTCCCCCTTCGGTTCAACAGTTTTATTTGTTCAGAGGAAGGGGGGGACAATGAGAATATGCATTGATTATAGAGGCCTAAATGCCGTCACTCTTAAAAACGTAGAGCCTCTACCACGCATCGACGACCTATTGGATAGGTTGCAAGGATGTAAGTACTTCACGAAGATAGATCTGTAGTCCGACTACCATCAGATTGCTATTAGACCAGAAGATCAACACAAAACCGCATTTCAGACCAGGTACGGTCTGTACGAGTTTGTGGTGATGCGTTTTGGCTTTGCAATGTGCCGGGTTCATTCCAACATGCCATGAATAGGGTCTTTCATGACTACTTGGATAAGTTCATCGTTGTGTACCTCGACGATAGTAGGACTATTGAGGAGCATGTCCAACATGTGGAAACCACACTTTCACTCCTTCGACGACACAAGTATAAGATAAACTTAGAGAAATGCGAATTCGGTCTGCAAAAAGTGGCGCAGGCGCAAAGTTGATGAGCAAATGTACATAACCTTTGTTAGGCCTGCTCATGTGCCTTCTATTTTTGTTGTACATAATGATTCTACTTTGCATGTCGTTTCTACTTTTGAGGCAACTACTTCTTCCTCTACTGAATCTACTTCTAGTCCAAACGACTCTGCTTCAAATCCTGTTGTTTTGGCTGCACCGATGCAATCCGGTATGCTTGCACGTGAATGTGATGATCCACCCCCGGACATCCCATTAGAAATTCACAACCTTCTTAACCGATTTCTTGAAGTCTTGGCCGAGCCGCATGGAGTCCCCGTGCGTCCGGTCTGACACAAGATCGAGTTGATAGAAGGTAGCACTCCTCCAAAAGGTTGTGTCTATCGAATGGGCTCAAACGAATTGGAGGAGTTGCGAAGACAGATTGATGACATGATTGGGAAGGGATGGATCAAGCCAAGCGAATCCGAATTCGGTGCACCGACTCTGTTTGTCCCTAAGAAAGGAGGCAAACTACGGATGTGTATCGATTACCGCGGACTGAATAGAATAACAAGAAAGAATGCTTATCCTTTGCTGCGTATTGATGATCTGCTTGATGCTGCAGGTGTGTGCAAGGTCTTCAGCAAGATCGATCTCAAGTCTGGCTACCACCAGATTGAAGTCGACCCTGCAGACCAGTCAAAACTGCATTCAAAACTCGCGACGGGTTGTACGAATTTACCGTCATGCCCTTTGGTCTCACGAATGCATCGGCCACCTTTCGAAGTCTCATGGACAAGGTGTTCCGCAATCAGATCAATCGCTTTGTTGTTGTTTATCTGGATGATATACTAATCTTCAACAAGTCGATGGAGGAGCACATGAGACACCTTGAGGAAGTGTTACAGATCCTCAAGGATGCTCAACTCCATCTCAACTTGGAGAAATCTGAGTTTGGAAGGGACAGCGTCATCTACCTTGGACATTGGTTGTCTGCTACAGGCCTAGAGCCCGAGGCAACCAAAGTTGAGGTCATCCGCAAATGGCCTCAACTGGCCAATGTCCGCGAGTTGCGTTCTTTTCTTGGTCTTCCGTCATACTACCGTAAGTTTACACCCAAATTCTCTATCATCGCCCGTCCGCTTTCCAAATTGACAAGTTAGAATGTGTCTTACACATGGGATGGGGAATGCACAACAGCCTTCCAAACGTTGAAGGAGGCTTTGGTGAGTCATCCGGTGCTCCGCATTTTACATTCGTAGTAACTACAGATGCAAGCTTATATGTGATTGGTGTAGTGCTGCAGCAAGATGACGACGATGGCTTACATCCGCTTGAATATTACAGCAAACGCATGCCCAACCACAAGGTAGTTGCTTCCATTTACATGCGAGAACTCTATGCTTTGCGAGAGGCTTTAGATCATTGGAAACACTACCTCTTGGGTCGTCATTTCAAAGTGTTCTCAGATCACAAGACTTTGAAATGGATTCTGTCACAGATTAATCCATCAACCACATTGACCCGCTGGCTGCATGAGATTGATGTGTACGATTTTGAACTTAAGCACAAGAAAGGCTGTTACAATCGCGTTGCGGATGCTTTATCTCGCCATCCTGAGTACATGACTTGCCTTGTGGGTTCCTATGATCTCCGTAAGAATTTGAAGGAGGAACTCGTTGAGCATACTGCCAAGGACCCGAAACTCGGTCCCATCCTTGAGCAGATTCGGGCTGACCCTAGCAGTCAGCCTGATTTCCATGAATGTAAGGGATTACTTTTCCGACGTTACGGGAAGCATGACCAACTGTGTGTACCCAACCACGAGCCGATCCTTACTCACTTCTTGGACTTGGCTCATGGCCGGATTGGACACTTCGGTTTTGAAAAGACATACGGAAGTCTGCTGCAAAAGTTTGTATGGCCTGGAATGAAAGGAATGACACAAAAGTTTGTGGCTGAGTGTGAAGTCTGTCAACGCATCAAACTGTCTCGAGAAAAGCCTTATGGGCTGCTGCATCCTCTTCCTATTCCTGATGGTCCGGCAGAGATGAGCAACGGGTACCCAGATCCGCACCCACCTGCACCCACCCGCACCCGCAAGGACGGGTTGTAGGTGTGGGTGTAAATAACCTGGGCTGGGTCGGGCGAGGGTGGGTCTGCGTTGGCTAGTCTTGATTGGTGGCGGGCGGGTCAATGTCAGGCTTGGGTCACCTGCATTTGTGGGTGGCAGGTGGGTGAATGTCTAGCCTGGGTCACCTGACCCGCTGACCCAGGATAACCCGCACTGCCCCCCCCCCCCCCCCCCCCCCCCC